AATATATATATATATATATATACTTGATCTCTCTTTTTTTCATTTAATTATATTTGTCTTCCTCCTTTGTTAACATGCAACCATCTCCCTGTGGCTCGCAGAGCAATTAAAACCACTAAAGACGTACGTGGATCCACATACGTACGAGGACCCCAATGTAGCCGTCCTCAAGTTTGCCACTGAAATCCACCCGAGCCACATAAGCAAACAGAAAGTCATCGGAGCTGGTGAGTGACAACCCTGCAGAGTTAATCTGCTGTGGGGCTTAGCTTTAAAATCTTGAAAGGTCTTTCCATTTGCACCCCTCTCGTCCCCGAAAATATCCACTGTTTGTACTGCACATTTTCCACAGCTTAACAGGCTAATGGGTGGTTTTTACTTTGCTGAGATTAGGATCTATCTGGCTTTTTTTTTTTTTCCTCACCCGGCAAGTTGAGAGATCTTTTTTTTTCTGCGGTTAACTCTTGGCGGCGACATCTTTATGTTTTGGCCTGAGATGACATGAACATTGCACAACAGAAATGGCTGCAGACACATAGTTTTGGAAGAACATCACAACACCTTCCTGGGGCTTGCTTCTCCGCTCCCATTGAGGATATGTTCGTTCAAGTGTGACCACCTTTAGCCTTTGAACCAACGGTCCGTTTGAGCCCCCCTCTCCTGCCCCAGCTCCCACGACCAAATGTCCCCTTTCCTTCTCGTGTGACAGCTGATTCCCATGCTCCCACACAACAGGTCGTCAACTATTTACACAATGTTGCTTCTTTCGTTCTTTTCCTCTCTCTCTCTCTCAACACCGAGCCAGAACACACCTCGGTGGGAGCGCCTCAGGCAAAACAGCCGCAGAGACTTCCTTATTTCTTTTTGTTGCTCTGCCAAGCCCTGTGGCTAGAAACTTAAGAGAACCCATCGCACCAATATATGCACACATCAAATATCTTTTCTAAATCAGCTGTGCAAATTATGATTTTTTTATTTTTATTTTTTTCCCCCCACCTACAGGCGAGTTCGGAGAAGTTTACAGAGGCTCCCTGAAAGCGCCTGGGAAGAAAGAGGTGGCGGTGGCGATAAAGACGCTGAAGCCCGGCTACACAGAGAAGCAGAGGCAGGATTTTCTGAGCGAAGCCTCCATCATGGGACAGTTTTCCCACCAGAACATCATCCGTCTGGAGGGAGTGGTGACCAAATGTGAGGCTTTTTCTCCACTTTATGTTTTTTTTTTTTTTCTGCATATCTGTTGTAGGTCAGTTTGGGCTTATGGTTTGTTCTGCTTCTGTGCAGTTAAACATGCGATGATCGTGACTGAATTCATGGAGAACGGAGCACTGGATAGATACCTGAGAGTAAGACCGATATGTTCTTCAAGTTGCTTTTTTGATGTATTGTGATTTTTTTTCTCATGTTTTCTGAGAGTATTTACAGTAGTTATGTAAAAAAAAAAGAAAACAAAATAATTCTCTTATTTATTTTGCATCAGGATCATGACGGGGAGTTCTCGTCTCACCAGTTGGTGGGAATGCTGCGTGGCATCGCCGCAGGCATGAAGTACCTTTCTGAAATGAGCTACGTTCACCGTGACCTGGCTGCCCGCAACATCCTGGTCAACACAGCCCTGGAGTGTAAAGTTTCGGACTTTGGCCTTTCCCGGGTGCTTGAGGACGAACCTGAGGGGACCTACACCACCAGCGTAAGCACCTGCTTTGATTTTCTGGGAGCTTTGAGGAGTAAAATTCACTTCAGTTTGGCGTTTTCTTTGGTCTCCATGATGGTGTTTGTTTACGAATGTTTTCTAATAAATCTCCGAGGCTCGGAAATTATAAATAATTTATTATTTATTATAAATGATAAAATAGTTGACTCCTGAGGGCAATTGGTTGCACAATTCACAGAACATCACCTTTCCAGTAGTTTTGTTTTTCCTTTCTGATATCAGTATTTAAATATCTATCGATTATTGTACAAACATCTTCTAGTGTACAAATCATGTAATTACTACAGTAACTACATATAGTAACAACTATATGTAGGATATTATTATATGCATAGTAAAGCAGTATAAATTTGCCAATGTCAAATTTATTTATAAAGCACTTTTGAAACTGTTGAAAGTGCTTAAAGAAGTCAATAAATATACTATAACTAATAAATATATAATAACTTTATCCCAGTAAAGGGCAATTGAGTTCACAGCACTCTGGTCAACATAACAAAAGAAAAGAAAATATGAACAAACTCATTCAGCCATTTCAGCTTCAGAGCAACGTCAGTGCAAAACGACAAAAAAAAAAAAAAAAAAAAAAAAAACAGGACAAGCTCTTTGGCTGCTGGGTAACAGGATTTAAAAGCCCACTTCTTGAAGGAATAAAGGAGTTTGATCATTGTAAATTGTGGTCACGGTGTGATAAGGCACTGAATTATGGTTTTTGTAAGCGTTTACGTGGATCTTTAGTTTTTTTACTCCCCTCTCTGACTCGATGGTTTTCCTTGAACAGGGAGGCAAGATCCCCATCCGCTGGACGGCCCCGGAGGCAATAGCCTACAGGAAGTTCACCTCGGCAAGTGATGTGTGGAGTTTCGGCATTGTCATGTGGGAGGTCATGGCGTTTGGGGAACGGCCTTACTGGGACATGAGCAACCACGAGGTTTGTCTTCATTTCTCAACTCTTTTAGTCAGGACATCATTGGAACGATGTAACAATTTACCTAAATAAATAAATAAATACCGTCTGCAGGTGATGAAGGCCATCAATGAGGCGTTCCGGCTGCCAGCGCCCATGGACTGTCCGTCGGCCGTCTACCAGCTGATGCTTCAGTGCTGGCTTCAGGATCGCGCCAAGAGGCCGCGTTTCGGAGACATCGTCAGTCTGCTGGACAAGCTCCTGCGCAGCCCAGACTCACTAAAGACCATCGCAGACTTTGATCCACGGTAAAAAAAAAAAAATAATTATACCATACCTTTAATAGATATCTTTTCTGGTGTGGATTCAGTCCTGAGTGTATGAGGTTCTTTGAAACCAACGTCCTTCAAAAAACTATGAATCAGCATTTTGTCTGAGTTTTAGTTTGTGATGAATAATAAATTTTATTAATATATAAAGAAAATTGGGAATTTGTGGAACTACGTGTGAAAATAACACTGAAGTAGTTCAAATTGGGTGAGGCTGCAGAGTAAAAATAGTAAAATCACGGTACACGTGTCCCTTTTGTTTCTGATTCTGTGAGTGAAAGCGTGTTTCTCCTATTGAGACAGAGCAGACACCAGAGACAGTGAGAAAGAACAAAGAGATGTCATCCCCATATGTTAATTCCCTCTTACCCCGCCTCCCTCAACCGGTTTTTTTTTTTTTTTGTTGTTTTGTTTTATCACCAACTGGTTTCCTGCACAGTAATTACAGACCTCAGTCATCTGTCTCTTGTTGTGGGAAAGCGTGTAAATAATTATCATTAACGTTTAGGTCTGCTCCCTTTCTTTTCCCAGGGTTTCCATCCGCCTGCCCAGCACCAGCGGCTCGGACGGCTCCCCCTTCAGGTCGGTGTCCGAGTGGCTCGAGTCCATCAAGATGAGCCAGTACAGCGAGAACTTCACCCGCGCCGGCGTCGTCACTATGGACCAGGTGCTGCAGATGAAGAATGAGTGAGTGACAACACATTAACTTCAATATGGACTGTGTTCATTTTCTTGACGCGCATAAAAAAGCAAAAAAACGAATATATGAATAAAAAACAAACATAGAAACAGAAAGTAAGGTACTTATATGTTTGTTTTTATTAGTTAAAACTGCAGTATCTAACTTTAATTTAAAAAAAAAAAGTTTTGAGTATTTCTTTAAATTATCATTACATTGTAACACTGTACTACAAGAAAAATAATTTACGAAAAAATGAGCTCCTCTGTCGTCTCCCAGTGCTCTCGCTGGCAGACACACACCACTTAGTCAGAAACAACCAATCAGAGCCAGGAGGAGGGTTTTAGTGCTATCAATCACATCCTTCCACCTTTGCTCTTTGCTAAGCTAAAGCTGGTTCACAACATAGCCTGCTACAAATGCTAAGGCTAGCTAGCATATCCATCTGTAACAGTGGATAAACTTTGTTTTCCACCATTTGCACATTGAGCAGCGCACAGGAGCTTGATTGACAGTGCTAAGACCCTCCTCTTGGCTCTGATTGGTTGTTTGTGACTGAGTAGTGTATTTCTGCAGACCACAATAGCAGCTCAGGAATTGGAGGAACTTTTCACAGATAATCTGTCTCATGGCATACTGTCACAACATGGTGACATTTTAATAAATATGGAAAAAAAACAAAAAAAAAAAACCCATATTTTTATTAAAGTCACAAACTGGAGTTTTAAGGAATCTGATCAGCTTAATCATTCAGGTGTGATTAACCTAACTGACCACTAAACACTATTTTTAAACTGTTTGCAGCTTGAGGAAAATTTCAAATGGAAAATCTAACGGAGTGAAGGAGCGGTGGGCACATTTTGTGGTGGAGTTGTGGTTTCTGTTGCTCTTATTCAGCTGCGCTCTCTCCATTCTCATCCTGCCCTCAGCCCAGACACACATAGGCCAGCACTTTTGTCGGAGCCCTTAAAAACCACCAGTTTTGCTTGTTTGGGTCAGGAACCTTTTGTGGCTTCTCCAACATTAAAGGAGAGCGGCATAGACTGCAGCCAAGTGGAAAAAGATCGACTTGAAGCTGAAATAGACGGATTTGATTCGAAAGCCTAAAAGGAGACTGAAGAAGTTGGCTTTTGTGCCCCCTAAAGTTTTCACAGCGCAGTTTAAGGGAATTACACCTTCCATGGTGTGTAGGAGTCCTGCAGGAGGCAATTTACCCAAACAGGCGCAACCGTTGGTGGGTGGGGGGGAGTCTATGGTAAAACACATAATTTAAGGTTCCTTTTGAAGAATAATGAAGGCCAGAGAGTTTTTAACCCCATAGCAAAAAAAAAACCCCCTTTTTTTTTTTTTTTTTTTTTTTTGCCATTGCACGTGCTTAGGTTTGTAACCATGAGAACAAGACAGGATGAGGTTTAAAAAAAATCCCAAACTGTGTTATAAAGAATGTAGGAGCGCTGTAGAAAATCCCAGGGCAGGTTTGACTAGTTTATAATTTTAGAGTTTCATGCTTGCCTTGTTCTAAGGTGGTCCTACTACCGATTGTTTTCATAAATTAAGCTTTTTATATGTCACATTTGGTTAATTAATTGCATAAAAAATTAAAAATGATCAAACAATTACTCACATTTTTTTTTTTTTTTTTACATAAATAAGTCAGAATGTTTAAATTGTGTTTCTGGTACGTCTGTAAATCTGACATGCAAACAACATCCTCAAAGAAAGCTGCTTTTCTTGTTTTCTGCAAAAAATTATTTGATGGGACGTTAAAAAGACTGCTGTTGTGGGCAAAAAGGAGTTAGCCCATTGGCTAAGCTATTAACCATAAAATAGCATCTCAATGCAAAACATGTTGCAGTAAAATGACTCTAGGTTGTTGCTAATGCTAACTTTCCTGCAGTTGGTTAGTGCTTACAAAATGCAAACCACTAGCTCACTGCTGCGCTAGCAGCTCCTAACCCACAGCGGACCCTGCCATAACTCGCAGAGGCTTGTTACCATGGCTACCGTTGACGTCAGTGAGAGATTTTCTGTAATGTTAGGTTGTTTCTCTGTCATTATCATAGCTGCAGCACAATGGCAACTTTGAACTTGTATGCTCAAGGTTAGTGTGAGCAGCATGTACACAGACATGATTGACAGCACCATCCTACTGGCTCTGATTGTCTGTGCTTTTCTGCAGATGGCTGTAGGTCCACAGGTTTCACCCAGAAAAATGTTATTATTGAGACAAATATGAAAACCTGTATCATTCTTACTCTTCTCAATAAGCAGTAGTTACTACCTCTTGTTGCTCTGTCCTCCCAAAGCACTAGTAGGTGGGTCGGTTCATAGATAGAGCGTCCAACTTAAAACACAGAGCCTCGTATCCCGGGCTCGTAATATTTGACTGGATGATACTTTGGGATACAAATGAAAAATTAAACAAAAAACGTAAAAATGCTATTTGTCGTGACATCTCGTGCCACGCAAATTTTATTAAGCTCCAAACATACATGTAACTAACTCTCCTGATCCTCGGGAAGACATCTGCACCACAAAGCCGAGACGAGCCCTTTTGAAGTGCTTGTCGTGCAGCATGGTGTGATTTCTTGTTTCCATCTCGGGGCATCTGGTAGCACTCTCTGGAAACCACCAGTCATTTACGATCCACCCTCTGCTTCCCAGACAAAGTGATTCATGGTCAACGGGGAGAATCCTCGTTAAGTAATTAAAGCTGTAATTAAGGCTTTGACTCCGGGCTGGTGTTTATGCAGGGCTTTTTGCAGGATTCGCATGTGTGTCTCTTTGCAAAGTGAAACCCCCGCTAATGCTCGTTTTATTGTGGAAGATGAGTTACACCTTTTGGCAGAGCGAACTTGGAATGCGCCCCACCTAGCTGGACCGATTTAAAAGTTCAACCAGAACGCGTTCAACTCTAGGCTGGCATTTCATCACCCTAAATGAGTCTGTGATTACTCCAAGACTTTGGGAGGCTGGAAGGATGCATGTGGAAACTGTTGGAACGAGGCCAGGGTGCAAATATGTGCGCAGCTCTTCTTCAACACCGCTCTGTCTCTCCTCCACAGGGACATTAAGAACATCGGCGTGCGACTGCCCGGCCATTTGAAGAGGATAGCTTACAGCATCTTGGGCTTGAAGGACCAGACCAGCACCCTGAGCGTGTTTGCTGTGTGATCCTCCGAATGAAAGGGATGTGAAATTGGACACAGGCAACCCTTTGAACTCCCCGGCCAAGCTGGAGCGTTCTGCGGGGAACGGCACCCAAACGGCAGAACTAGGAGAGAAATGTGCCAAGCTTTTGGGCCAAATTGAACAGAATAATTTTCTGTTCCTTCTATAGTTTTTCTTTTTTTTTTTTTTTTTACCCACAGGGAAACGGAGCACATACCTTCAACAGATGTGTAATGTAGACTTTTGATATTTAAATAGCTATTTTTGTACTATAGTTGTCTTCCGTACGGATGCGATTCGTCGCTCATTCACTTTCGTCCGTTTTCCATTCCTGCTTCAGCTTTATGAAATTGCACCCTGAGTTTGTTACGAAATGAACAGGGAGAACGTTTGTAAGAGCAGCAGAGTCCAGTCAGAGTTCAGATTATGAGTCTCTCACTGATTGGCTCTCAGGAGGATGAAATGAGTTTGAGCTAATTCAGATTTAGGGTTAAAAAAATAAAACAGGTTGTGAATGTTTCTGCTGGTTCTGTGCAGAAATTAAGCTATGATCTTATGGGTGGTGTTTATATACAAAAAAAACAAAACAACAACAAAAAAAACACAAAACAGGATGATTAGGTACTTTTTTTTTCTTTTTACAAAGTAAGTTTTTTATTATTATTATTCCTCTTTTGCAATGAACTGTTACAAAAAACATCAACAAAAACATTTTTATTAGAATCATATAATGTAGCACTTGGAGCGAGTCTCATATTTGTCACATGATTGTAAACATAAACGGGCATTTACAACCAAAAACGGACGAGCTATTTGTGTCCTCTGAACCATTTTGCATTTTGCCTCTTTTTGTCGGGATTTCGTGCAACAGACCAACACAGTGCTTTGTACTGGAAGGCAAATATTAAAAAAATAAAAGAAAAGTCATTCCCACAGCATGGCGCTGCCACCTCCATGTTTCATGAGGAAAAATGTTGTATCTGTGCCTGAAATGTTTTGTTTTTTTGTGGTGCCATAGCGACCCGATAGTGCCTACTTTGACCTGATTACTGAGTTCCTTACATTGTTTGGGGATAAACTGCAAACAGTATTTTATATGACTATCTGGCTGCAAGTGGTTTTGACTTGCCACACTTCCATTAGAGCAAGATTTTAATGTGTCTGGTAAAAGCTGTCATGTCAACAGATTCTCCTCTCTGGGAGTTGGAGCTCTGCTGCTGGGTTTCCCTCCCATTTTGTTTTACGGCCTCATCTCGCTTTAAACCTGGCTCTAACTTCAGCACAGGCCTGTTTGGTTTGGTCCGAGTCAAGTCGAGTTCATTTGTTTTCCACATTTCAGCAACAAAAGCAGCTCAAAGTGCTTTACACCATAGAAACTTAAGCAGCCTATTATGAAACGGGCAATAAAACATTATATTTTGCCATCATCCACATCATGAAGCAAATGTACATTAAACATACTAATCAATGTTCCAGATCGGAGGCAGCTCTGGACAGGTCGGTTTTTGGCTTCAATTTAAAGAAGCTCATTGCTGTTTGCGGTGCCGTTGGCTGGACTTTATTTAGAAACATCAGAGTAAAAGGGGGCTCAAAGAGTTTTAAAACTTTCCGTTGTTCTTCCATTTTGCGTTGATGTACTGCTTTGTGTTGGTCTGTCACGTAAAAAAAAATCCCTACCAAATACTTGTGATTTTGTGTTTTGTAATTTGCAAAAATGTGAAAAAGTCCAAGGGTATTAATCACAAGGCACTGTATGTGAAAGTCGAGACTTTTTCGTAATTGAAACAAGCGGGAATTCTGCAAAACTTCTCAAAAAAAATAAGTGAGTCGAGAAAAATACTCACCAAAA